TCAAAGGGGTTCAAAAGGTTCAACAACAATTACTGGCCGGCCACCAAATATTGGTGGTCTCCCAGATGTGTACATCACAAATATGGGGTTTAGGGTGCAAGAAAATGACCCAATGATGGTCAACATTGGCTTTGAAGTGAGGAAAAACGGGCGACGGAGGGCGATGGAGGAATAAAACTGGTTGTCTGAACAATTGCTGGCCTCCTACCCTTCTACGGCCTTATTACCAATGAAACAAAGGTCCTTGCCAAAAACGAACCAAAACCGATGCAAAATGAAGGTTCGGGGGCCGAAACGCGCTGCCCGAGGCCCTGAAAACTGACTGTTAGGCACCGGGAGTGATGTTCAACCACAAAGTCAGTTCCTCGGGCCACAGTGTCCCTCAAAAGGGAGCAAATAAGATGTATACCGAAAACCGGAGCAAACGGAGATGGTTAAGCGGTTCCGAACCGAGGCACACGGCCAACGGCTCCGAAAAACCGGAAACCGGACTCCAAACGGGCAAAATGGCCTACGACCATGAAACGTAGCCTACGGCCACTGAGAGATGGTCTACGAGACCTCTCCCTCCCTTCGAGAAGAGAAAACAGAGAAAACAGAGCCTGGTTCGCAAACCGAGGCCAAGCATAAAAGAGTTCGGAAGTCCGGAGGCAAGGCTCGCAGTTGAGACTCTGAAACTTCTGAACGAGCACGATATGCAACATCACCAAGCGCTCAATCGGTGACGTCTGAGTCTTAAGGTCGGTCAAAAATGGGGTGTCTACAATAACCAAAAAAAAAAAAAAAATCATAACCGAATAATACGTGAGGCATAAGGTTATAACTAAAAAAAAAAATGATCATAACTAAAGAAGAAAATGATATAATTTATGGTGTATAGTAAAATTTTCTTAATTAAGGAAAATTTTAATATATGCATCATCGAAAAGGATATACCATATGCACCCCTAGTTATGTTATTTTTTTCTTTAGTTATAATCAATTTTACTATTTGGTTATGATATTATTTTAGTTATGACTTATGAGTTCTTGTTAGACTTCATATTATATTTAGTTAAAATATATATATATTTTAATTCTAACTCAAAAATAAAAAATTATATTATTTTTTTAATTATAAAGTGCATATTGTATTTCCTTCAACGCTGCATCTAATATTTCATCAAATTTAACATTGATAAAAAATCGACAATTGTTTAACCTCCAAACCTTTCATCAAACTCATATCAAATGAGGAATGAATCAAACTTTTATCAAATGAAAGGAGGCTTTCATCTTTCATCAAATTTAAATTGTTACCATTGAGTCGAACATCCTCTCGGGTGTCCACCCAAGAGCAACTTTGACATTCTTTTTTGTTCGTGCCAGACAATCTCCAAGACATCCGTTCAGACCTCCTCTCAAACAACTAGTGATGTAAAAAAATCTGATAAAAATTTTAATTTTAATATTAGAGTGATCGATATCAAATCAAACATTTTATTCTATGATTTTTTTAAGGGTAAATTACACTACCTTCCCTAAGATTTTAGACAATTACAGGGACCTACCTTGTAGTTTTAATAATTTCAGAAACTTCCCTTACTTTTTCTGATATTGTCAAGATTTTCCCCTCCCGTTAATTTAAGCCAAACGGTGTTAACTTGGTTGTGCAAATAACCATAATACCATTTACACTTAATACCACTACAAGAAAAAGCACATTTGGTGACTAAATTTTTAGTCGCCAAAAGTCCATTTTTAGTTGCCAAAAGTCGACTTTTCACTTTCCCCGACTAAATATTTTAGTCGCCGATTTTGTCGCGAATACATGGTCGCCGGAGGTATTGGCGACTAAAAAAGTTTTAGTCGGCAAAAAACAGGTATTTAGCGACCAAAGCTTTTGTCTCCAATAGTCAGTTACATTTTTGAAAAGTATACATTTAGCGACTAATCTTTCAGTCGTCAATAGTGAATTATTTTTTTTTATTATTCATACATTTGCCGACTATTTTTTTCGTCGCCAATAGTTAAGCTTTTGGCGACCACACATTTTAGTCGCCAAAAGCATATTTCAGAAAAACAAAAAAATTACCCTTTGCTGTTCCCAAGTTTCAAACCACCAACCTCTTACATTCTAAACCTTTAGAAACACACTCTCCCCACTATGCCACTACAACATCACATCAATATAAATGCAACATATATTATTTATATAGTATATTGACCGGTATTAATACAAAAATATATATATATAAATAATTATTTTTATTTAATATGATTTATGTAAAAAAATAAATTATTTACTAAAAAAATAGGAGACCACTTTTGGCGACTGAAGATGTTTTTTAGTCGCCAATTCTATACTTTTTGGCTACTTATTACTTTTTTGTCGCTAAAAGAATTAATTCCCTCCTAAAACCTTCACTTTTGGTGACTGAACTGAATTTTAGTCGCCAAAACCCTCCACTTTGGGCGACTAAACTGAATTTTAGTCGTCAATTGTTAACTATCTGTTTGGTAACGTTTACGTTTTCAGTTTATATTTACAAAAATTTTATAAACTGTTTTTTGTTTATTTTTTTTTTATTTTTAGAAAAACATAAACTACAAACGCGTTTGGTAATTGATGTATACTTTTGGCTACTAAATGTTTTTAGTCGCCAAAAACCTTGACTTTTGACTACTAAAATTTTTTTAGTCGCTAAAACCCATATAATCGGCGACTAAACTGATTTTTAGTCGCCAATAACTATACATTTGGCTACTAAACTGTTTTAGTCGTCAAAAGTCTTCACTTTTGGCTACTAATTCCATTTTAGTCCCCGAAAGTGCTACTTTCAGCGACGAAATTTTTTTTTTGGTCGCCATTTGTGCTTTTTGTTGTAGTGTACCATTTAATTATAATTTACCAATATATTAAATTATCATTTTATTTCTCATAATTTTTTTATTTTTTTTTTGTATTTCCTTGACTTTATATTTTTTTTCCACTAAAAAATTTGAACTTTTATAAGTTTTTTTTTTTAAAAAAAAAGCGTTAATGAAATTAAGAAAGAATATCCATGTTTCTTATTTGAATTAATTTTGAGATTTAATTTAATAAAAATAATTTAAATGAAAGAAACAAAGATGGAGATATAGATTTTAGACATAATACATGACAAATTATTTGAGTATTTTATTATTTTCAAATAATTTATTTCTTCAAGTAAAATTCTATTTTAATTAGATGTTAGAAATGACAAATTTAAATAGTTTATTATTCTCAAATAATTTCTTTATCTTCCATTCCCTATCATCTAATTTTAATTTATTGTAATGTAATTAGATTTTTTTTTTTCACTTTCATAGTTATTTTTAAAAATCTTATTATTAAGGTGAGAAATATTGACTTATTTTTTTAATGATAATTAAAATTTGAGAATTATAGGATTGTGAAAAGATAAAATGATAATTTTTTTTATATATATTTATGAGGTAACATTTGGTAATTTTTATAAGTCAATTTTTTTATTATAAATATAAACTTTTTTATTTTTCTTAAAAAAAATTTAATACACAAATATATTTACAAAACAAAAGAAAAATTCATGTTTCATAAGTTGCTATGAAATTGGGCGATACTAGTTAATATTGACGAAAGAGAAAAAATGATTAAAAATTTGAGAAGAGAACAAGTAATAATAATAATATGAATGTAGTGACATTATAAAAAAATGCATGAGAAAATAAATAGAAAGAAAAATGAAAGAAATAAAATAAAGAAAATGGAAAGAGATGGATAATTTCTCAAAATATGTATTTTTCATATGGGAAAAAAAAAATCAAATATCTATATGTATTTTAAAATTTTTATTCAAACTCTAATTTCTCAAAATAATTATTTATAAAATTGGTGGTCTTTTCAAAAAATAAAACATATTTTATACTTTGTTTCGTAATTTTAAATAAATGATTGTATTTAATCTAGTAGTATAAGGTTTAATGATAATCAATTTATTAGCTCTTTTTTTTTGTCTTAACAATTTAGATTTTTTTTTAAAAAATATTATATAGAATTTAATAATTTTGTTCACTAACATTATTAAAATAATATATGAGTCTTTATTGATTTTTTGTAAAATCTAGGGATGTGAGTGAAATTAACTATTTGAATATATAAGGGTAATCTTGTAATTTTTTACTCATAGTACATGATGTTAACAGGACATCATTATATTCTGTTAAATAAATTAACAGAAGATTAAAGTGAGAAACTTTTAATAATAGTTTTAAAAAGTAAGAATAGTTTTAATAATTATTGAAACTATAAAACAAATTTGTAATTGTTAAAAATTTAAGGGGAGGTGAGTGTAATCTACCTTTTTTTTATTTATTTATTAAACCTTGTGAAAAGTTATTGGGTGCAGATAGGGTATCATGTGGAATGTTACGTGGTGCTTTCAATCAATCAAAAAAATCATGACCTTCTATGTTATCTTCTCATCACCCAACACATAAATATAACCTCCACCCTCTCAACCAATAAGAGAAGAGAAAGATATTACATGACACGTATTTGCACTTAAAAATTTCTCAAATCTTGTAGATGTTAGTTATATTGGATAATAACTTGAGTTCAAATCTCGCCAATCTCTTGGACGTAGCACAGTTGGTTAAGAGGTTGGACCTTAAGTTGTCTAACCAGCACTTGGTGTGGATTCAATGCTCCCCGCTGTGCGAGTCATGACTTAAGCAGAGCTTGTATTGGGAGGTCGGGGTAAGTTCCCAAGTTATAATATTCTTGATTGGAACAGCTAACATGACACCTTACTGATCTCTACAAAAGGGCGTTGCTAACATGACACTTTGATGATCTCTACAAAAGGGTGTTGCCTTGGACTTGCGCGTTGCTAACATGACACTTTGTTGATCTCTACAAAAGGGTGTTGCCTTGGGCTTGCGGGAGAGGAGGGAGGATTTTCCGGTAACCCTTAAAAAAAAAAAAAAAAAAAAAAAAAACTTCTTGCGGGGAATTCATCGGTGGTTGTGTCTCCAAATCCAAATCAAACACGTACGCACACTCACTGTCGATCCATCCAATATAATGCGACTGTTCATCTCCTTCTCCATCTCCAGAGCTCTCTTCTTCTTCAACAACCCCATTAGGTCATTTTCCTCCATGGCCACCACCCTATCCTCCGTCACCGCCTCCCTCAGCCCTAAGTCCCGGCTGAGAGGCGTCGTATTCGACATGGACGGAACCCTAACTGTCCCAGCCATCGATTTCCAGGCAATGTACAGAGCCGTCCTCGGCGAACAAGATTACTTAGCTATCAAATCCAAGTGCCCTTCGGGAATCGATATATTGAATCACATTGAGAATTGGAGCCCCGATAAGCAACACACCGCTTACGAAACTATCGCCGATTTCGAGCGCCAGGGTCTCGATCGCCTCCAGATTATGCCCGGTTTGCCACTTTTTCCAGTATCATGAATTTTGGTCGTGTATTTGGATACAATTTGCTTATATATCTGAATACTAATTTCTTTTTGAACATCTCCGGCATAGATTTTTTAAATGACTTCAATTACATGAATCTACATTGCCTTTATTGAGCAAATATTAAGCAAGTGCAGGTTTGTGTTGCAAATGGAATTATCAATTATCATATTATTGGCTTTATCCTCTGCATTAGGAAATCATTTCATACCTGTTTCGACCCATTTTTTATTTTTAAAAACATCGATTACTGTGATCCCTTTTTGTAAGATAGGTTTTAAGTTTAACTCAAAGTTTCAATTTTTTTAAACAATTGGTATATTAAAATTGATTTGTTGTATTTGATAATTTACATTGCCTATCATTATGTATATTACATTTATATTTTTTTCCCCTTTTGTTGATAAGTAAAAGTTTATTAAGAAGAAACATCAATTGGGGATGTCTCTGATGTTCAACTATTCTATTGAAATACTTCTCTGATCTGTACTGAAGTGGTTTCAAGTTTAAGAGCACATGTACTTTAAATTAATACAGGAACTCAAGAAGTAAGTTGTTGGGAGGTTGGGGTTTTAGTTTCAGTCTTCCTAGTAAAATATAGGGGAAATTGACCATAAAGTGGGGAGTGGGGCAAATATTTTCTAAAGGGCACTACAAAAAAAAGTGTTTTTTGCGACGGCAAAACGCCGTCGCAAATGCCCCATACGCCGTCGCTAATACTTTTTGTGATGGTAATTTGGTTTTTTGCGACGGCAAGTGGGGGTCGCGACAAAGGGGGTTGCAAAAGGGCTTTAGCGACGGTATGTGCCGTCGCCATTGTTTTTTGCGACGGGAGAGTGCCTTTTTTTGTGATGGCAATTTTCTGTCGCCAATAAGTGAAGAAAATCTGAGTTTTTGCGACGGTACAGTATTTCCGTCGCTAAAATGGGTTTTTTGAGACGGCAAGAATACCGTCGCTAAAAGAGTCGTAGCGGATAACTATTGACGACGGCAATCTGAGCTGTCGCTAAAGGTTTATTTTTCAATTACATTCCATAGCTTTTGCGACAGTATGGGTGCCGTCGCAAAAGCCTCATACAATTTTTTTTGCGACGGGTGGTATGCCGTCTCAAAAAAAAAAAAAAAAAAAAAACCTGTTGGGAAATTATTAAAAAAATTAAAATAACCTGTATTAAATGAAAAATAACAATAAAAAAAATCCAAAAATTACATAATAATATAAATACATATATAAACAAAAGTTGACAAATAAAGAAAATTCATAATGTTGTTCCATTCATAACAATACATAAATAAAAATTCATAACAATAAAAATTATGCCACTACATAATGTCGCATAATACATACATAATGTTGTTCACAAATTTAAATAATATAAATCAAAATCAAAATCAAAACCAAAAGTTTTCGTCTTGATTCTTTCGTGGGTTACAAAAATAAAAGTTGGTCATAATCTTTATACGCCCGCATTTCACAAGAAGCAAACTGCTACTCAGGAAATATCTGAAAAAAACAAGATAAAAATAATTAATAACCATATAATGGTGTTAATATTTTAATTACAGAAAAATATAAAAAAAAATTGACTACTATATAATTAGAAAGATAGTTTAGTATATAATTTTGACTAGACCGAAATCCGACTCTAACTCCCAAACCGGGAACCCGATTCGAGTTCCGTCTTCTCCCACAAGTCTATCGTGCCTAGGCGGTCGTGTGTGCCAAGTTTCGTGCTAAACCGACGTCGTTTGGTGATTTTGGGGCTTAACGCCTCGAATTCAAGTTTCTTAAGGAAGTAGTTTGTCTAAAGTGAAATCCGGCTCTAACTCCCAAACCGGAAACCCGATTCGAGCCCCGTCTTCTCCCACAAGTCTCTCGTGCCTAGGCGGTTGTGTGTGCCAAGTTTCGTGCTAAACCGACGCCGTTTGGTGATTTTGGGCGTTAACACCTCGAATTCAAATTTCTTAAGGAACTAATTTGCCTAAAGTGAAATCCGACTCCAACTCCAACTCCCAAACTGGGAACCCGATTCGAGCCCCGTTTTCTCCCACAAGTCTCTCGTGCCTAGGAGGTCGTGTGTGCCAAGTTTCGCGCTAAACCGATGCGGTTTGGTGATTTTGGGGCCTTAACTCTTCGAATTCAAGTTTCTTAAGGAACTAATTTGCCTAAAGTGAAATCCGACTCTAACTCCCAAATCGGGAACCCGATTCGAGCCCCGTCTTCTCCCACAAGTCTCTCGTGCCTAGGTGGTCGTGTGTGCCAAGTTTCGTGCTAAACCGACGCCGTTTGGTGATTTTGGGGCGTTAACACCTCGAATTCAAATTTTTTAAGGAACTAGTTTGCTTAAAGTGAAATCCGGCTCTAACTCCCAAACCAGGAACCCGATTCGAGCCCCGTCTTCTCCCGCAAGTCTCTCGTGCCTAGGCGGTCGTGTATGCCAAGTTTCGTGCTAAACCGACGCCGTTTGGTGATTTTGGGGCGTTAACACCTCGAATTCAAGTTTCTTAAGGAACTAATTTGCCTAAAGTGAAATATGAAAATTAGAATCCAAATAATTTGCAAATATACAATGTTTATTTATATAGAAAAATAAAACAATAAAATGTAAACCTCATGCCGTATCTGAGAGAAAGTAGTACGCCCTGTGGTATGAGCTATGCCGTGAGCTCGCCGATTTTTAGCGTTCCTACTTGCAATTTTCTATAACAGGTTTAACAAATGTAAGTATGTAAATATGATTTGTATATTTACATATCATAAATATAACTTATTTGTATACCTCAGCATCGGAAGTACGCCAATACTCCACAAGTTGTTCCCACTGACTTGGCACAATGTGCATAGGAACATTATCCTTTAGATTAGGATCAGAACTTCTAGGCTTGAAATACTTAGCCTTAATCTTGTTCTTGTGATCCTTCCATATGCTGTTGCAGTTTTTCATGCAGATTGGCTTGTACTCCTCTGGACATATATTCAAATTGTCCTATAAAACACAATTTCAAAGTTTAAGGCTAAGTATAACACAAATTTGGAATTCGAATTTGTGGACAAAAATATACTTTTACCTTCACATCCTTCCAGATAGCATCAACAATATCATCAGGCACATTGTTCCAGTCAAGAAAAGTAAGAGGAATAATGTTACCATTCCGCACAATAATGCCAAGTTGAGTAGTTAACTTGGTCACGTTATCTCCTATTGGGCAGTAATTTGCATCAAATTGTATGTCCAGCTTTTTATCAGTACCCCACTCTTTAATACCCTTGGCATATCCTCTACCACGCCTAATCGAGGTTGATGAAGAACTAACATGACCTGCGAGATACAATAACAATAAACAATATGCAATGGTAATAAACAAATGCAAATTTAAATAATGTGAATACAAATCATATCAAATAAACCTGAGGTGGGCTGTGAAGAAGTCGAAGGGTCTGCAAAATACAATGAGAATAAACAAGTTATATATAATGAGCATAAATAAATGTATGTGTAAATAATTTTCATACAAATCAAAACAAATTTATATACCTACAGATAGCTCATAAGTTGATGATGATAGCTGCTGTGATGCCACTGATGGTGGTCGATACGGTGGTACTAATGGTTCCTCTGATGGTGGTGGCACTAATGGCCCCTCCGATGGTGGCCGATGTGATGCCTCCTCTGATGGTGGTGCTACTGATGTCCTGTTATGTAGCACATCAGACATCATGCGCCGGGGATGATCAGGCTTCCTCTTCCTTCCCATAATAATCTGCAAGCAATATAACATTAATTGACATTAGAAACATAGACAATGGTTTGTCATCAACTATAATATGACATTAATTGAACTAATACAATTACAAAGACAAAGTAAATTAAGAAATTGATGATTAACTATAACCTTGGCCTTAATTGAATTACTAATGTTGATTAAATATCAGCCTATTTGAACATCAACCGTTTCCCCTTCTGCGGCTTCCCTCACCCAACCAACTTCTTCATCACGAAGCATTATATTTTCTTCTAATTGTTGGCTCATGTGTGGCTCGATTTGTGGATCAGTCGAACTCATATCAAATAAACCTCTTTGAGGCATCTTCACCACGACTTGCTAATCTGGTTGTAACGGGTCTGCAACATACCAAACTTGCTCTACTTGGGACGCCAAGATGAAAGATTCATTGGTAATTCGATCATCTCGGTACAACAAATGATTGAAGTTCACCAACGTAAAATTGTAGACATCTTCTTTCTTTCCGTGAATGTTGTCAATCCAATCACACTTAAACAACACATGTTTCTTCTCATTGGAATATCGAATCTCAACAATATTTGTCAATTGTCCATGATAGTACACAGACCCCACACGAGGATTCTTGTCTTTTCGACTAGCATAACTTATGGTATCTGCCTTCAAAGCTACACCACAATTTTGTGTGGCTCGACGATCATCCATGGCCTTTACTCGATACTGAAACCCATTCAGTCTATACCCGTTGAACCTCCTTGCTAGGTTATGAGGACCATTTGCCAATAGAATAATCTCTTCAGAAAATATGACATCAGTAGTCCTTCGCAAAGTTTGGACCTATTTAACACGAAAATGTAAAATTTAAAATGTAGATCGACTTAAGTAACTAGAATCTATAGAGTTAAATACATACATGTTCCTTAAACCAAATGTGAAAAGTTTCAAAATGTTCACGCCGAAGTTGATGATCGTCGACACGAGGCATTTTGAGCTTAAGTACTTCAAGGTGTTTGCTGTGTAGATTGAAATTTTAGCAATACAAAAAATTTAGTTGAAAATTCAATAAAACATAATAAAATATTGAGTGAGTGACTTAACCTACTTTGTGAATGGTTGAACCGTTCTTGTATTGAAGTATTATCAAGATAAAAGCTTGTGTTTTCACCAATAGCATGACCCAAATTATCAGCACCACTATAGTTCCTCACGGGTCGACTAGATTTG